CAGAATTTTACAGAACATTTCCATCATCGCAGGAAGTTCAGTGGACAGCACTGTTCTAAAGGAAAGGGCGAACAGACACCTGTGAGAAATATAAAGCAGTGCGACAGAATAGATAGAAAGTGACAGGGGCCAGCCCGGGCGCCGCTTGGGAGCGCGGTGGCGCTCCCGCGAAGGGTTCGGATCCCACATACAGACCGGCCGCTCACTGGCTGAGCGAGGTGCGGGCGCAACACCGAGGGTTGCGATCCCGTTGCCAGTCCTGGTCTGGTACGGGCGTGACACTGAGGGTTGCGATCCATTGCCGGTCACGAAAAAAGACAAAAAGGGGAAAAAAAAAAAAAAAGAAAGTGACAGAAGGTCCTGTTTTATCCAGAGGGTAAGGAAGGGCATCTCAAAAGATGTGGTACTTGAGCTGAGGCCTAAAGAAAGTAAGGAAGCAAATCATGTGACCATGATTCATTTGGGACAAGCACTTTTGAGACAAAGTATAAAGGAGGGAGCAAAAGCAAAAGCTCAGAGCCTTTATGAAACGGCAGAAAGGCCGACACGTATAGTGCAGAGCAAACACACGGATGACAGTAGGAAGGTAGGCAGAAGGCCTGGTGCGCCAAGTAATTCGATTTGTAAAAGTGATGGGAAGCTGGCTGGTTTTGATGAGGGAAGTGACCTGATCTGATTTACATGTTTGGAGGACAGCTCTGGCTTTTTGGTGGAGAACAGCAGGTAGGAGGGCTAAGAGAGGAAGTAAGGAGACCAGTTCGGCAACTATTGGATGGGTTCAGATGAGAGATGGTTGTTAAGAAGTGGTCTGAATTGGGATAGATTGAAATAAACCCCACGGGCTTTACACTTTCCTAAAGGGTAAAGTAAGAGAGTCTTCTGGAAAGAAAAAAACACATTCTGGTGCCCATTCTGTCATATGACAGAATCATTTCCAGAATGTGCTTTGCCAGACTGCATTACCTGGATTAACAAGTAGTCTCTCCTCTACTCAGGCCCTCTGTTTGTGTGAGCAGAGGTAACTGTGTTCCATGAGCCATGGTTTAAGCATAAGACTTTCTTGCCTTCAGAAGGGCATATCAGTTAAAAAATAAAGGGAAAACTAAGACAGCATGACCCTGAAGTCTATGCAGCATTAAAATATTTGCAGATTGGTAGATTAATGAAAAGTCATAGAGATGCCTATCAATACTGCGGAAGTGTTCTGTCAGGTTCTATGAGCTCAGAACCTGGTATAATAATTACTGTTGTATACAACAAATTCTAGGAGGAAAAAGATCCCAAGCCCCAGGGGATATAGCCCCTTACCTCAAGCAATATTTAAGATGATAAAATTTCAGAACAACATGTGAATTTCAACAGAATATTGGAATTAGTTGCAATGGGATTTGACATGCCTGTGATTTGACTATGCATTTGGTCTGTTATGGACTTGTATTAAAATCATGCAATATTCAAAGGCCATGCCCATATGTTATTTCATGGTCTTTACAACAAACATGGTATGTAGACACGGGAAGTTAGGATGGTTCACCATTTTACAACTGAGGAAACTGAAGTTCAAAAAGGTTAAGAGATTTGCTGACAGCCGAAGAACCACAATTCAGCTCTTCTGGATTCCTATTCCAAAACATTGTCCATGATTCAGCAATAAAGCTGTTATAGTATAGTAAGACCTACCTTATAAAAATAATTATTCACTAATTAAACAGATTGCATATATTAAATATTATTTAAATATCATCAATATTTTGCTGTCTTTTTTACTATCTTTTATTCTTTGGAAGATCATAGAAACATAACACACATCCTAGTAGTAATAATGGAACAAAAAATGATGCAGGGCCAATGGTGTAGAACCAGATATTCAATTAAATCACACAATTGCTTTTAAGTCAATGCAAAGATCTGAATGAACCTTTATTTTTCCAGAGTGTAAGTGACTTTTTGAAAAAATTTAAATTGGAAAAAAAAGCTAGATGAGACTGCATAGTCCAGGATATTAGAGAATACTAGAAGCATCTTGAACTGATATAATTGTTCAGCTTTATTATTATCTTTAAAATAATGTAGTCTACGTCAATTAATATTCATTTAGAACTAGCTTTCTCTCTTCTCTGCCAAAGCACCATCTTCCAAACATCCATATTTCAATGTGGTTCACAAATCACAGATCCTCTATTGGAAGAAGAGGGGTTTCCATGGTAACATGCAAATGACTTTTTCAATTCTTAGTAACTCCCTTAATATATCTTTTATAAACAAAGCATATTGCACACATTTGGAATAAAGAGAAGTATATTTTATTTATGGAAGGAGTTAAAAAGAAAAGGTCATGTCAAAGAAAAATTTTATAATAAATAAATTTCCTCTGCAGAACCTCAAAAGGAGTTACTTAAAAATAAAAGTATAGCACTTGGTTTATTGAAAAAGATGGCATGAAAGACATATCTGATACACATGCTGGCCCAACCTGAAAGAGATGTGGTACCTCACTAGGTCCACTTCAAAGCTCAGAACTTCATCTTCTAGGTCCTTAATGATATAATCATTTAATACGTGAAAAACCATCCATGTTTTATAACTGACCCTAAGAACACACCAGAGTTAAGACAAAAACCTTTTTGTCTTAAAGACTTAATAAAGTACTCAGAAAATGCAACATCCTTCATCCTAACATTTCATTTAATACGTGAAAAACCATCCATGTTTTATAACTGACCCTAAGAACACACCAGAGTTAGGACAAAAACCTTTTTGTCTTAAAGACTTAATAAAGTACTCAGAAAATGCAACATCCTTCATCCTAACATCTCAGTCTTAAAATAAAAATATTCTGGAAAAAGTTGAATGCTCCAGTCTTGTTTTGGTCAGACTTTATAGATACTGAAACTACTACCAAAAATAGAAACAACGTGGAGACAATGAAGAGACACACATTCTCACATCAAGCCTTTAACATGATTGGTCTGGATCCAGGTCCCTTCTATCTTTGGATCTGTGTCTCTGTACAAAAGAAATGCCTGAACCGTGTGACAGTTTGGCTGTAAAGGTTGGTACTACAGGTTACTTTCAAAGATTAAAGATGACAACAATTGGTTACTATTGAATTACAGGAATAATGTTGAAAACCAAAAGTCAAAACTAAGAGACTAAAACCAGAGCAACAAATAAACTCATGAACCAGATCAAAAGCTGGGTCACAGAAAGACATGTGCCTCATACGTAAAATGAGATTGATGTAACTTAACCTAGAATTATTATGCAAGAAATAACCTTAGAGATTAAACATTTTTTCCAAACCCCTTCTTTATGGTTGGGGGGGAAAAAAGAGTCCCAGAGACATGAAGCGGCTTGTTCATACCTTAAAAGAACATCAAGTTATTCCACTAATAAATACTAAAAACCATACAAATTTTGTTAACTCCACTTACTGTTTTGTTCTCCTCAGGTGCCAAGGTTCAAACAGTTATATTAGTAAGAATTCTAACATGACTACAAGGTGTGTTTTGGGGTCTGTGTTTCTAACTAAGTAGAATTAATAGTCAAATGTGAAGAAATAAATTGCCAGCTGTCACCATACTCAATCAATCTTAAGCATAACTTCAGAGGCCTGATGTATTTAGCACCTCTCCCAAAATTGATAACTTATTCCTAAGAGGCAGGAATACAGTGAATAAGATTAATTATTAGAAAGATACAGCTTCACATGCTATTCCACAAAAAAACAAGAATTCCTATGCCTAAGTTTAATAGATAATATCACTTATTTAAAAAAAAACATTACTATACAATTCTAAGACTATATCCGTAAACAAGTATTTGTCAGTAAGATGATACAGAACAAAAAAAGAGAATGATCAAATATTCAATTACTTGAATGGTATGCTCAGTCTGCTAATTTTTTTTTTAATTATATTATAATTTAGGCAGAAGTCAAACTCTTTGCTGAAAACACATGAAAATTACAATTCCATAGCTAAAATTAAATTTGATTGTAAAAATAGCAAATGCAGCTCAAAAGTTATATATGTTTACCAATTGTTAGTACAGAGCAACAATTTTAATAAGATCATGAGCACATAAAATTAAAATGGTAAAAAATGATTGCTAGGAGTTGAATGTGACCAATAAAGGTATTTTTATAGAATGAAAACAGATGGAAGGAGAGAAGTAAACTAACACTTATTGCATATCAGGCATTGTGCTAGCACTTTAGCAATATACCAGGTTAATCATCTTAATTATCACAACAACCCCATGAGGTAGCTGTTATTATTACTCTCATTTTACAGGTAAGAAACAGAAAGCTTAAGTAATTTGCCTAAGGTCACACACACAGCTAGTCGGTGGCAGGGCTGTGACTTGAATCTGGATCTGTTTGACTCCTAAACCCACAATCTTTTCACATTACCCACTGAAACATGGATTAGTCTATAATCTATTCCTTTAAAAAATACTATGGAAGGATTTTCATCATAAAAACCACAACCCAAGGTTTTTTGTAGTTTTTTGGTTTTGGTTTTGGTTTTTTGTCTTTGCTCTCATGTCTGGAAAGCCTGCAGAATTAAGTCTATAAAAGTGAAATAAAATTCAAATCAGTTCTGTGTTTATAACCACACCTTGCACATGAGTTGCACGCTTTAGCTTTTTTCAAAGTGTTTTCGTAAATTTTGACTCATGTTATCATCACAACACCCCTGCAAGGGAAAGCTGATGCGATCCTCATTCTGTAGATGAGGTTTCAACTATGTGATCTACTCGACAACACACAGCAACTTGAAGACAGAGTTGGGACCAGAATCTACGCATCCCGACTCTACTGCCCTTTCCATCACACCCTTTTAGATGCAAAAGATAACGATTTCTATATCTGAGGCAACACTCTCTCCACCTTTTTTTTTTTAACATGGCAAAAGATTCTGTAATTTATATATAGGAAATATAGGCTGTCCTTTGACATGTTCTTTCTTCCTATTCTACGTGAATAAAACAATTCTGAGGTAAAATTATCTTTCAGTTTTTTTGATTTTCACCATAATATCCATGCTAAAGTGACAATTTAAATCGCAGGACATGTATATAACAAGTGATTCCATTATAACCATGAAAATCTAGAGCCAATAACAGCAAAAGCAATTTCCGTTCATTCAATACATTAAAAATAATCTAGAATTAGGTAAGATTAACTTACATATAGCCATTGGTAGAAAAGATGTGCTAAGATATTCAATAATATCCTTGTGCAGAAATGGAGGAAAGGTAGCTAACGTTGATATCATCGTGTAGGGCAAAGTACTCAGAATATCATCATTCAGAAAGGGTAGCAAACACGTAGTTGTATAAAATATTGACTGTCCAAGATCTACAAAACAAAATTGAGTAATCAGTCACTGAATACTTGCCATTAACAAAATATGCTAATTTTACATTTTGAGGTTTAATGAGCGTTTAAAATATAAGCAACTATTGTTCCCTCTCTGTTAAGAGTTCTGAAACATACTCCTTACTATAGTGTGCTATGTATACAGAGGTTGGTCAATAAATGACCGATGGACAAATATATTAAAAAATATAAATATCTGGGCCGCCCCGTGGTGCACTCAGGAGAGCGCAGCGCTGGGAGCGCAGCAACGCTCCCACCGCGGGTTCGGATCCTATATAGGGATGGCCCGTGCGCTCACTGGCTGAGCGCAGTGTGGGCGACACCACACCAAGGGTTGCAATCCCCTTACCGGTCACGAAAAAGACAAAAAAAAATATATATATATATATATAAATATCTATTACATGAGCGTTCAACACCCTATCAATCTTCAGTAATACGTGGTATTAATATTACTACTTGATCTCATAAATTCATAGCCCTTTCCATGTGAAAATAAACCCTGAAATCCCTTCAGTGTTCTTATCTCAATTACATTTTACACAAGATAACTGAGGCACAATGCTGTTAGATTACTTGCCCAATGGAAGTTTTAGAAAAGTCAAGGACAGGACTAGAAATAAAACCACGCTGCTTCTGCTCCGTTAACTAAACCACAATGGTCCTAAATCTGAAGTCTTAGGCAGTAGGGTAATTTGCAACTCCAGCAAAGTGGCAGATTCAGCAAGCACCAAAGAAAGGAAGCCATAAGCTAGTACTGCATGACCCTGTGTATTTAGCAATCAATTATCATGAAAGGAGTGCCATGTGATAATAATCTATCAACATTTTTAAATGTGGATAGTAACGATACCTACCTCACTTCATTAGAAGGATTGTTAGGAGGTTTAAATGAGAAAAATGTGAAGTGCTTCGCATAGCACATAATGTGTTCCACAAATATTAGCCATTATTATTAATATTAATAGTTACTATTGTTATTACCTGCACAAGGAGTAAAAATAGAGGACATTCAAAAACCATAACTATTTAGTTTTAGAATGCACGTAGACCAAATTCCATCACACTAAATGTACATTCTGATATTTGTAGACCTTCCAAAATACAGGCCATCAGCCAAGAATCGACAATAAAGACTTTGGTCATTTTTGTATTCATTATAATAGAAAAGAATAGATTTTTGTTTGTTTTGCAGCCCACCCACCCACACATTTCCCAAAATTCCAATTTTTCTGTACAGTGAAACTTTGGTTATCGTACTTCCAGAGACCAAATTTATCAGTGTTTTAAAGTTAAGACAACTAATGTTTTAAAGTGCATTTTCTGCAAAAATCCCTGTTCTTACTGTATGGTTTTGCATTTGATTTTCCCAAATACATTTTGGGTGGTTAGGCAGTAGATATTATTATACTTTTTATGACTTAAAAGAATTTGACTAGCAAGCAAGATAATGAAATTGACTAAAGACACACAGTAGAAAGGGGAAAGAGTTAAGAAAAGAAACATGCTCTTAGGTTTCTATTCTGAAGTATGCTTCGTTAACACTGTATGCTATACCCTGTATACAGCATATAGCACCATTATATTCTGTACCAACATTTTGGTACAACATTTTGTAATGACTATTGACTGTTAATTAAATTTGGAAGAGTTCTTAGAGATTTCTTCTTATCTAACCTCCTGACTTTAAAGACAGGAAAAATGGATCCCAGAGAGATTCTGTGATTTGTCCCAAAAAATCACAGAATCAGTCAATAGATCAGAGCCTGCTTTTCAAGCTTTGCCTCTTACATTTTCTGGAGGCAAGCTTTAAAACCTTAGCTCCCCAATTACAATTTCAACAAGAATCCCCATGAATAAACTGATCAGGGGAAAAGAGAGAATTTCTTGTTATGTCCTTCCTCCTTCCTCCAGTCTATTCTCCCCCAATACAGGCTCCCTTGGATAACTTCCCTCTGGCAGTAAAACAGTGTAAAACAATAATGGGAAACACCAGAATTAAGTTTCAGTGTAAGAAAGGCTTTAGCCACACAAAGCCCTTTCACACGATTTATTACAACAGTCCCTGAGCCCCTTACTCAGCATCCTACATATTCATAATATATGTGCACACTTCCAAAGGTTTCGATTAAATGCTCACCGTGTTGGCCATGCTGTAGTAAAGGAACTAGATCCAGGAGAGTCACCAAAGTCACGTAGAGGCCTTGGTAGTCCAAAGAAGGGTAGTCTGACAACTGAGCATCACGACTTTGCGGGCCGCGTTCTGAGGGAGCATCTCGCAGGACGCTGTAAAGGAGGGAGCGAGTAACAGTAGGGTTGATGGAACTGACCTGCGGTCTTAGAGATGGGGTGAGTGGGAATGGCACAGGAAAAAGACACATGGTCATGGGCACTGTCAAATTGGAGGCATCTTGGTTTTCCTTCTTCCCTGTGCGGGACAAAATGCTGTTGGGGGGACAAAGAAAAAAAAGAGACAACAAAGACACAAAGAACAGCACATTACATTGAAATGACACTCTAAAACAAATAATAAAACACCAGATACATCCCACATAAGATGCAATTGCCACACCAGCAGGGTCTACAAATCTAGTGCTGGTCACATTGCTTCAAGCTCAGAGATACCAATAACACAAGTGTACTTTGTGGAAGTTTCATTGCATCTCATGTGTTATCTGGTTAGTAAGGAGCAAAAATATAAAAATGCATGTTTCAGTGCCAAACCCATGTTTTACAGTTCATCAATTTGGTGAAGGAGGTTTCCTGGAAGGAAAAACAATGGCTTTGTCTAATGATGAAGGGCTCTTATTTCTAATTATAAGGAGCTTTCAAAAGAAAAGAAGTTTTCAGCAAGACTGTCTTAATCAGGTAAATAGAAACTTGCAAAATATAGGTACGGCACTTGCAGAAACATGTTTTAGCAAAGAATAAACATGTGTGTTTATTAAGAAAGTCTTAAAAATCACATGTTTATTGCATCAAAATAATGTCTATATGTATATTATGATACTGTTTCATGACATTCTGTCAGTATCATTTGAGATAATGAAGTTTAAACAGGCATATGAATTTAGAAATAATACATATTTCTAAAATGTTAGCTAAACTACATTGGAAAAGCTATAAAATAATATATACTAGATGGTCCATAGCATATGTTTGTGAACTAATGATAATGGTTATTTATGTGTGTTTTTTAAATTTTGCATGTTAGGGAGGAAACATTTTATTTATGAATACAAACAGTGGCTTATTAGTTACCTTCAAAATTCTAAAGACTAAGCAAGCATTGTCTATCATGTAGCTGTACATCATACAATAAGTTCTCATATATTACTGCTACTACTTACGTTATTATTCAACAAAACTCACTAAAAACTAAAGGAAAGATAATTAGGAAGTTAAAAAAAGTTTAAGGGGAATAAAAATAACTTCTAAAAATAGATTGGTTTTCTTTTAGCCTTAATTTTAAAATAAAAAACTTTTAGTAAAAGCAATAAAGCAGAAAAGTTGTTAATTTAAAAAATAGAAGAAATTACTGCTTAGCCAAATGTTTAGGTTTTTTAAAATTAGGCTATACTATTTATCATTAAAGACAACAGCTTTACATTATAATAATAATATCTGGTGCACTTACAAAGTGCTTTTATATGGTATACTTGGATGTTAGTCAAAATAGATAACAGTTTATAAATATTTTGTTACATAAAAAGAACCTGTTTTACACTTATTCCATGTGCATCAAACATTACTAAGTTCTTAGTTAATGAAATTACATTTACGATTTTACAGTGATGTGAAGAATTGGTTAGTGTCAAGCATGCTTGCTATGTCAAGTTTACATTTATTTTTATTTACTCTTAGTGCAAAATAATGTTACAATGTAAGAAAAATGACTACATGCTTTTTATTTTCCATGTGCCTAATTTACCTCGATTTCCTTTGTCTTCTGTTACCCAATGTCCAGGGAAAAACAATTGATAATAATAAAAATAATTTCAGAATAGTTATGTAATACTTCTTAGCAATATATAACTTAAGATTTGGTGTATTTTTTTTTACTTTTAAAGGGATTTAATTTACCTTTTTGTGTGTGTGATGTATATTTGACTTTACAATGTGACAATATCAGCATTCCACTTACCCCTGCCTGCCTACATCTATTATAAAATGCATCAGATTTTCCATCAGACTTTATACTTTTCTCATATAACTCAATTACTCCTAAGAGTACCACCTTTAAATGTTATATTCTTGATAAGCCCAGTCACCAAAAGCATGTTTTAATCCTGCAGGATACTACCCTAATGACAATTCCTTTAGAATCACAATGGATATAAGTCCAATATATTATTTCCCAAACTTCAGCCCTAAATTAGTCTACTACCAGCATCTTCTCAAAACTATGAGATGTGGTTCTACTTATAGAAGTGGAAAGAAGAAGGTTTTGCCTTAGAGAATAGAATAGCTGCATATCATAAATTAATGCTATCCTTTAAATTAAATGCAGTGCTCTGATCTAACACAGCATCTTCTCAAAACTATGAGATGTGGTTCTACTTATAGAAGTGGAAAGAAGAAGGTTTTTCCTTAGAGAATAGAATAGCTGCATATCATAAATTAATGCTATCCTTTAAATTAAATGCAGTGCTCTGATCTAACATCTCCTTGGTGGGGAAAATATAACACATTATTTTTTCAAATATACATTAGTATTTTTCCAAAGTTTGATATAATTTAACAAGCACTAATCAAATCAGCCTTGGAGACTACTTTGATATTTTTCCCTTCCTGTACATGTGGGCTTTCCACACAAAAGCAACAGCCTCATACATGCAGGGAGGGACGCATGTCAGCATTGAAACAGCAAAACTTCTCTCTCACTGCCTTTAGATTTAGGAATTCGGTGAGGTTGAGAAAAAAATGGCTGAAAATGATTTATCCATGAAACCAAGTTTAAATTCCACTCATGTCTCAATGTAAGGAAATGTTTTCATTTGTGGAAAAACTTAAGAAGGGCTTATGAATTAATGTAGAATGCATTGTGATTTTATGACATTTGTGAAGCTTATTCAGGAAAAAAATAATTTCCCCAACCAAACTGTCTAACTTGGGAATGATAAAACCATTCTCCCCATTTAAAATTATTTCCCAGAGGTCTGTAGACCCAACCATTTTTGGTTACTAAGAATGCCCTGCTCAGAAGACCTCGACCCAGAAGCCAACTTTTCGCCTTTCCTTTTCCCTCCTGAGATCCTCTTTATCAAGCCTTGACTTCCATCATTAAGATGAGACAAGAGAAGACCTCTGTGGGTGTGAGAAGGTGAGAAGTTGCCCTGAGGTATTTATAGCACAGAAAATTAATATGTCAAACTTCCTACAAGCCTATGAATTTTTGACATTTGAGTTGAATCTACGCACTAAACAAAATTTATTTGATTATGCTGTGCTCTAAATCTATGGACTTCAAATCAATAATTTGAAGGTTATATATATATTTTTTTTCATATTCTTTCTAAGCAATTAGAAATTATAACTCAATTTACATTATTGGGCTAAGACTAGAATCCCTTTTGAAAACATGTTAAACATTTTCTAAAGAGTTAGCAGCAAACAGCTTTCCCCAAATGTAATGATTTATTTTTTAAGATGTTACACGCTAGCAGCTTGAACTACACCAGAAGACAGAATTCCAAAAGAATGTCTGACAGAGGAAGAAGACTGGGAACCTTTAAATATTGTGCCAAGTAAAAGGCAAGATCCTTAAAAACCTGAAGATATTTAAAATATGGCCACAGAATACCTCTCATCTAAAATGAAGAGACTCCTCTGTAGCAGGGAGGGGAGATTGAACTAGATGATCTTCTAATGCTAAAGGCAAATAAAAAACTAAACTCTGAAGTTGTGCGTAAACTGTGTGTTCATTGCCAAATTTCAGTCCCTGCTAAATTCAAATGAATACACCTCAGAACTCAGATATAATTCTACCCAGAAGCCCAGGTCACTCCTAGATTAAGAAAATGCTCTAGAAGGGTTCCTGCATTGAATGGAATTTGAACTAAAGTTAATTCAATTCAAAATTTACTGATCCCCTTCTTAGGGCCAAACACTGCTCGGTGCAAGGGCTAGCAAGCTGAATAACATAGGACTTGCCTTCCACTACTAAAATTTAGGGGACCCCCATGAATTCTAAGATGAGTCTAATTATAAACTAAGTGGCCATATGCAGACTCCTCAACTGATTTTATAGTCAGTTATGGTAACATATAATCTCTCCCCTCGTGTGAATGAAATTAATTGAAGTTAAACATCTAGGCTAATCTCTTCTTTCAAAATAAGTATAAAACTGTACTGAAATCAGTGAGAGTTGCAGGCATGCGTGAATACCAGAGGACTATTGCTCTAAAAATGCAATTCTTTTTTTTTTTTTTTTGGTCCTTTTTGAGACCGGCACACCCGCGCTCAGCCAGTGAGCGCACGGGCCATCCCTATATAGGATCCGAACCCACGGCGGGAGCGCTCCTGCGCTCCCAGCACTCTCCCGAGTGCGCCACGGGCTCGGCCCTAAAAATGCAATTCTGACACAGATGAAGCTGCTGGAATTTCAAGTGGTATATTTTCACAAAAAATAATAACAATAATAATTTTAACTTCATTGAGAATATCTAAATAGAAAGACAGAGGGCGACTTTGTGAGAATTCATCTCTAATTCTTTCTTGTTTGTCTCCAAGAACCTGAGTTCTAGAAGCAAGAAGTGCTTCTGAATGTAAAATATGTAAAATGCAAAGGGAACCATCTTGTTTGTAATAGAAAATTTTACTATCGATAATCTAGGACAACAAATATTTAAACTATCTTATTGATCTTGAACTTTCTAGTAGCATAAATAAAATGAACAAATACAAATACGATTGTTATGGATGTATATATCAACACGGAAAGGAATCATAACTCAGCCCAATACATAGGGCAATAGTTTCCAGTCCTGTTTTTTGGGTTCAGCCCAAGAGTTGAACCTGTATTATTAAAGTCCAACCCATGACATGTTACATTCCTCTGTTTTCTTTCGTGTGTGTGTGTGTGTGTGTGTGTGCCCGTCCCATTTACTATAGTCTATCAACTCTTCTCTGACCCATTAGCCACAACTAATTGCTGCGTGGAAGACAGAGGCAGAACATCTGGGAATTGAAACACTGTCCCCATCATCTCAGGTGCAGCTCAATTTAACTTTTGAAAAGACGGCAAATCTTTGTTTTAAGCACTCCCCTTTTCCCTTAATTTCAAAGAGAGCCAAAACTACTCTGTGCAGTCATAATGGATGCTGGCATTCCCAAAGGTCAAACCAAGTTGTTTCTGAAAGAAGTGTCCCTGTAGTATGATAAATAGTAGTACTAACAAGAAGCAATATAACGTGCTTGTTGAGAGCATGTGCTGTGGATTAAGACCATCAGGGTCAAATCCTGGTCCCAACACTTATTAGATAAGTAACTTTGAGCAACTTATTTAACCACTCTTGCCTTAGTTTTATTATCTATAAAATGGGTATACAATACACTTACAGAATTATTATGAGAGATTAAATGAGATGACACATTTAAAGTGCTTAGAACAGTGCTTGACACCTACTATTATTGTAACACAATTTTGCTATGATGATAGCCATTGTTTCTACTACCATTGGTAGTAGTAGTTGATGTTGCCTCCCTTTGAAAATGGCCTCAGCTCAATTGCACAGAATCTTCTCCAACAGGCCACTTGAAAAAATTACCCTAACACCAGTTTCACCATTAAAATGGTATCACCCATGATCATATACTCATGATCCATTGCTCAAGAAAATGGAATCTTCATGTCTTGCAAACATGATTTCAGTATCCTAAATTTGTTAACTTTTTGGCACAATTACTAAGAGCTAAGCTGCAAGCTTTAAACTGCCAAATAGGATGTCACAGCTTCTTTGCAAACAGTATTCAGAATGCTTCCTACTGAAGTGTCTCTCACTTTGAGAACTTTCAGAATCTGTGATAAAGGAAAGTGTTTCCCTTTGAGAACCCTGCCCTCGAAGACAAAAGGAGAATTCAAGAGAATAGAATCAGATGCCTTGCTTCATAAATTTATCTGATTATTACTATGAAAACTGGGCTAATTATTCCAATACAATTTGAAAAGAAGGGAAACAGCCTGTAACAGGGTCCTAAATTTAGGATGCAAGTATGAAATCTATGAATCTGATAAACAGAACCCTTTTACTATGGAACAGAGACACTAAAGATTCTAAGAATTCTCAAGATTTCTAAAGAAGAAAAGATATTCCAAAGAATAGAGACATTAAGGGGACTGCAGAAGACTAGTAGCTGACTGGATCACATGAAGCTTCTTTCTACAAAGTTTTCGGTCTGTCAATGCCATGGCAAAGCCTTAGAGAGCTGGAAACTCCAGATCCAATACAGTCATGTTCTCCTAATATCTGTCTTACAAAATTTTTGCTGCTATAGAGCTAAAAGAAACAGTAGCAAGCCAATTTATGTGTTTCCAAAATCAGATTTGAAGTAAGAAGATCATGGTAATGGAAGAGACCGAGCCTTGGAATTCAATGGAAAGTGAGGTGTTCTTCTGACTTCTGTGTTATTTCCCAAAATAACTGAGGCTTTACTTAAAAAGCTCAACTTTGCTCGTTTTCCTAATGAGAAGTATGAAGCAGACAGTAAAAGGAGACAGGATAAAAAGAGCTCCTAGGTTTTCATTTCCTTGCCATCCATGAAATTTCAACATTGATTATAAATAGCTTGTTGAACACTTATAGTGTTACGCAGATTAAAAATAACTAAAAAGAGCTCCTAGGTTTTCATTTCCTTGCCATCCATGAAATTTCAACATTGATTATAAAGCTTGTTGAACACTTATAGTGTTACGCAGATTAAAAATAACATCACTATACATTACACTTAGGGAAATAGGAAATGCTATTGATGAAACTAAAAAGTTACATAATTCTGATTTTCTTTTAGACCAAAAGTCCTTCCTATTCTTAATTTTAAGCAATGTAGGCTCTCCTTTCAATCCCACATTATATTAGTGCCAAACAAAGAACTTCTGTCATTTTATCAATCTCTTGAAAAGATCTTCAACTGAGAAAAGCAGGCAGTAGCCCTGCAACCCATTTTTTTCAGTTAGGCCGGGGATCTGACCTACTATGTACACCCAAAGCCCTTGAGTCCAGACTCTTCCGGCAGAGCACTAAAAAACTTAGGGCCCTTCAAAACTTTCAATTCAATAAAAATTTAGGTCCCAATAAATTCAGCAGTACTACCTAATAATTCTGTCAAAGTAGAGGATATTTAAAAGCTTACCTTAACAAGGTCTGAGAAAAGTATTTCAAGGTGTTTGCAATATCTGTTCCTGATGGTACAGGATAAATGTTGTGAAGAACCCGGTTATGATATTCCTGCAAGTACCGAATCTTGGAAGCAACTAGATAAAAGCAGAACAAAAAAAAAAAAAAAAAGAATCATCTTGCAATATGTATTTTTTTTAAATGACTACATACAGGAATTTAATCAGTATTGTAAGGAACAAATGTAAATTGTTACTGGAATTCCATGACAGAAACAATTACAAAAGACTTTTAATTTCTTATAATTGTATTCAGCGCACAAAATTATTTTTAGTTATCTGGTTTAATATCCTACTCACAAATTATCCATTAATTTTTTTATTAGTAAGAAAAGCAGTATTCCAAATAGTTTTCTAATCACTCCCCAGTTAGCTTATTATTGGCAAAATAATAATAGATAACAATCTCTGCCAGCAGAGAAATATATTTAATATTGCTTAACTAAAATTGAAGGAGAAAATTCAAAGGTCTTTCAACAACACTCTAAATATCCTAAAAAATAGGGAGGTCATTGCCCAATGGTATAAATCAAAACCAGATTTTTAATTCATATGTCATTGTGAAAGCATGATTAGTTAATGCTTGAACTATGAGGATATGTTAAGAGTAGTGGGTGAGTATTAAGTAAGAATGCGATGATTGTGCAGTAATAAAAATAGAAAAATTAATGTCACATTTTTCTTCCAAAGAATTTCATAAATTAGGAAACTTCCTAATAGCTTTCTGAGCTTTGCTGCTCAGATCTTCTCAAGATTCAGGAGGGACTAAATAGGTTTATTCGCCCTCCTAGACCTACCTGGAGTCACCAGCATTGTCCACATTCCTGACCTGACCTTTGACCTGGCTGTAGTGAATGGCCCAGTTCTAGTCATTCCTCTTTGCAAATCCCAAGGAGCCATGATGATCAACGTCTCTCTGGTCTCCTCTTCCACAGAGTTCACAATACTGTCCATTTGTCCTTTCAATCTTTAAGGCTACCAAAGGAGCCTTTTAGGTGGTATGGCTCACTGTCAGCAGTTAACAGAAGACATATCAAGTCCTGGAGAAGCAAGGCCTTCCTGTTCCCCATAGCCCATGGAATTAAGCCCCTGGATGCATTCTAACTGAAATGCTGGCTTAAGCAATTTAAAGAAAGTCAAAGTGCTTTTGATAGATGTGGGACACAGAATCACAGAACGATAAAATATCAGAACTGGAAGGACCTTAGAGAGCTTTTCCCATAGCCATTTCATTTTAAAGATGGGGAAAATGAGGCACACAGGTAATCAATGGTGCAGCTAGACTAGCACTTAGATTTCCTGACTCCCAATCCGTGCTCTTTCCACTAGGACATGTTCTAGAATACAATTCCGAAATGAAATCAACATGCAGACAGTGAATTTTCATAGCATGACACCAAAGCAATTTTCAGCAGTTATTAGGTTAATCATTGATTCTAAATCCTACATATACCATTTATCAGATTTGCCTTTTCTCCCTTCTATTACCTGAACTGTTTCCATAATATGGTTAGCATTTTCCCGAAGAAATGTCTAGATTACAGATAATAATACCTTGAGTTTATATAGCACATCAGCTCTGAAGAAAGTTTATATCCATTGTCTCAATCTCATAAGTGTTTGGTTGTAAATAAATTTTTTCCTAAGATAAGGTAAAAGTAGGTGACACTTGAACTGTTTCAATTACATAATCTACAAAAATCCATTTTCTTCTCAGTGTTTTTGATCTGCTATCAATTATATTTTTAAAAGTCACATTATGAGGGCCCCCCACAAACACATTAATAATAATTCCGAGTTCCAAACATCTGAAATATATGCTAGGCCAGCACATGCTCTCTGCTCACCCATCATTACAGTAATGCTTTGTTACTATGATTTCTCAAGTTTTAATATTCAGCGGGTTTCTGTAGAGTATTTCAGGAATACCATTAATCATTCCACCACCTAAAAAAGGAGTTGATGATAGTGCAGCTTGTGGACAAATGCTCAAATGAAGAGAAAAGCCATAGATCCCCCAACTCAATAGCTTGCTCATAATTCAAGAGCTATAAAACTGTCACTACACAACGATTGCAAGCATTCAAAAATGTGAGTGAAATGAATGGAAACTCTTTTTATAGTTCATTTCGTTAAAATGCAGCAATAGCTCTTTTCAGCGGGTATCCAAACATGCATGGGAAAGCAAAGACTACAGTCACTTCCTTCTCTGAGATATTATAGTATTTTACGAAAGTCACATTTGTATTGTCTTTGTTTACTTACCTGTTTATTTTTCTACACCAGGTTGTAAATTTCTTGAAGTCAGAAATTATATCTTACTCAAGTCTCTGTCCCAAGCCTAACATTCTCTCTGGCACTTACTAGGTACTCGATATATTTGTAGGATTAAATGAACAAATTAATTAACACTTTAATAACAGCACTTATTACTTGTTTTTTGTACATACACATACATACAAAATACATTGTGGACTCTTTTTATGCCTAGGGCCAGATACCTAGTAGTTACTCAAATTATGGATGAGTGAAGATGGAGAAAAAAAGGAAGAAATAAAGGTGAGGAGAAAAAGAGGAAGAATTGGTGAGTTATGATGAAAGACAATATATAGAACAGGTTGGGGGAAATGTTCAAGCTAATTTGTACATTGGTGAATGCAAAAAAAATCTTAGCAGTCATAGATTTCGCCTTCAACTATTTGAGAACAGCTAGAAAGTTCCCTGGCAAATAGTAATTTGTGATTGTGCTGAATATCTAAATAAAAGTTATTTACATTTCAACCTTGTACATCAGTGATGATTGTTTGGCTGGCTAATAAGCCCAGGTGAGTACCCAGCAATCTCATCAAAGCAGAGCTCTTGTTCTGCACGCATGTACCTGACTACCGCTGCAGAGACTCAGATAATTGGACAGGATGAATATAGACGAATGATCTCCAACCTCAACTGACCCTAAGGCTACATTTCTCTAGTAAGCGCCTTCTTCTACTCTTCAATTATAGTTACACGCTCTTCAAAACTCCCCCTATGCCACCGCTGCAGAGACTCAGATAATTGGACAGGATGAATATAGACGAATGATCTCCAACCTCAACGGACCCTAAGGCTACATTTCTCTAGTAAGCGCCTTCTTCTACTCTTCAATTATAGTTACACGCTCTTCAAAACTCCCCCTATGCCAGTTCCTTTCCTTATACTTTAAGAAACCATCTGTTATGGACTTAATTGTGTCACCACCAAAATTTATATGTTGAAATCCTAATCTCTAAATGTGACTGTATTTGGAGATAAGGCATTTAAAGAGGTTATTAAGTTAAAGTGTGGCTGTTACAGTGATGTGCCCTAATCCAATCTGACTGGTGTCATAAGAAGAGATTAGAACACACAAGAAGACAGCAGGAACACAGGAGCACAGAGAGGAGGTCATGTGAGGACAAGCAAGAAGGCGGCTGTCTGCAAGCCGAGGAGACAAGCCTCAGGAGAAACCAAACCTGCCAACACTTTGATCTTGGACTTCAACCCTCCAGAACTGTGAGAAAATAGATTCCTGTGTTTAAACCACCTGGTCTCTGGTACTTTGATGGTGGCCTGAACAAACTAATACACCATTCTAGAGGAAATCCCGTAAGTGAGAGGATGAAATCAAACATACTGAATTAAGACCTTGGCTCTATCTCTACTTAACCCCCGTTTCCTCATCTGTAAAATGGGGATAATTATATCAACTTCACAGGGCTATTGTGAATAATAAATAAGTTATTGTGTAAATCACTTAGCATAGTACCTAGTACATACTGAACACATAGTAGACACCAAAAACCTCCTTGCATCTCCTTCTTTCCTTTTCCTGTCAAACATCAATCCCACCACTAGAGCCTTCCATCCACCAGTTGTCTCTCCTACATCATTCATCTCTCCCTCTTTACCAGATCATTCCCACCAGCATTCAAACAAACTCTAGAATCTCCCTTGTCAAAGGGAGACAAAAAACCTCTCCCTTGACTTCCCATCCCCCTCCAGCCACTGGCCTCTGGCTTCGGAGCCAAGATCATTGAGAGCTGTGTACACAAGCTCATCTCTCCCTCACTTCTTATTCTTTCTTCCAATCACTGGTTTGGCTTCCACCTCCACCACTGCACTGAATCTGCTTTTTCCACAATCAACTAGAGCCTTCGATTTGCCAAATCCAATGAACACTTTCGGCTCACCATTTTACTAGACCTTTCAGCACATTCCATGCAGTCGATCCCTCCCTTTTTCTTGAAACTTTCTCCCCATGACTTCCCTGACACCACATTCCCCTGGTCTTCCCCCTCTGGAGTGTATCCCTCTCAAAGTGCTTTGCCACCTCTCCCCATTTACTTGATGTTTAAATGTTGGAATTCGCCAGGGCTCAGCCCTACACTCTCTGTTCCTCTCTCTCAGTGTTCTCCCCACAGGCAATCCCATTCATCCACAGGGCTCTCAGTACTATCTATGTGCCAAGCACTCTTAAATGCATCTCTCCATCCCAGATGGGTATCTCTTTTGAACAACAGACCTTATCTATTCAATTTCTTCACTTGGGAATCATAGATATCTCAAAGTAAACACATCCAACAATGAACGCTCTCTCTCCTCCCACTCTCCTAAATGAAACCCACTCTACCATCTTTGTAATCTATCAAGTCATTCAAGCAAAATATTCTGAAAATCATCCTTGACAGTTCCTATTCCCTCTCCCTCGTTCCCCTAATCCAATCCATCACTAAGTCCTATTAATCATTAAGTCCTATCGATGCTACCACCAAAATACCTCTACAAACCATCTCCTGTTCTTTATTGCTTTGTTATTACTCCTTTCAGAATCCATCGTCTCCAGATGGATACTAAAGCCTAACTCATCTCCTGGATTCTCTTGCCTCTCTCCAGTTACTTCTCCTCAGAGAAGCCAAAGAGATCTTTTTAAATTGTAAACTGCTTCGTGCAATCCTCTGCTTAAAATCCTTCAGTGGCTGCCCATTGCCCTCAGGATAAAATCCAAAATCCTTAATGTAATATACAAGGTCCCTGCCTGTCTTCCAATCTAATATCATGCCGCAAGAGCCAAACACGCCAGTTTGTCCAGTTTTATTTTTTTAACACACAAAGCTATTTTTTTGCCTGAAAACCTTTACATGTGCTTGTTCCTCTTTCTAGCGTGCTTTTCCCTTCACGTTTTGTCTAACTCCTTTTTTTTTTTCTTTTTTTTTTTTTTGTCTTTTTCGTGACCAGGAAGGGGATCGCAACCCTTGGTGTGGTGTCGCCCGCACCGTGCTCAGCCAGTGAGCACACCGGCCATCTCTATATAGGATCCAAACCCGCGGCAGGAACGTCGCTGCGCTCAGAGTGCCACACTCTCCTGAGTGCGCCACAGGGCCAGCCCAAACTCCTACTCATACTTCAAAGCCGACTTTTTTTTTTTTTTTTTTTTTTTTTTTTTTTTTTTT